AGGGTAATCACCGTCCTCATTACCATCCATCCAACCGGTTCGTCCGTCAATTTAGATTTTGACTTTGTCTTAAAAAAAATTAGATTTTGACAGCTCAATATGTATGCCACGTGGTTGATCGATCATCCTGCCAGATTTACAGATTATATATGGCACGCAATAAATGCATAAATCACACTGGAGATACATCAGCCGACCACCCCGAATCTCAAAGCACGGCCACGGAGCTGATTTAACCCCAGCCGATCTCTCTCCCCACCGCATCGCGTCGCATATCCCCTCCCTCCCCTCTCATCACCCACACCCACGCGGCAGCCGGCTTCAATTTTTCCATCTGCTCCCCGTGCTCTTAATGGGCTTTCCCTCCCTCCGACATGGCCGGCGACCCCCGCACCCGCGCCGCCGGTGACCACTCCCTCTCCCCCTCCTCCCCCGCCGCCGTCCTCGTGCCCGGGGGCGGCCTCCGCCTGGGGCCCTCCAGGCTCTTCCTCCACCTGCTCCTCCTCCACTCGCTCTTATAACCCCGCGCCCCCCCGCCGCCAGGCCATGGCCGCCGTCTTCTACCACCACGTCGTCGGCGACCTCACCGTCGGCAAGCCCGAGATCGCCGAGCTCAGCGACGCGGACACGCTTGACGACGCGGCGCGGGCCATCGCCGGCAGCCCCGAGGGCGCCGTGCCCGTCTGGCGCGCGCGGGCCGCCCCCGACGACCCGCCCTCCGGGGCCCGGTTCCTCGGCATGATCTCCGCCGTCGACATCGCCGCCTTCCTCGCCGGCGCCGGCGCCGGCGACCGCGCCATGCGCGCCGCCGTCGGCGAGGTCGTGCAGCCCAACCAGGACCTGCTCCGGGAGGTCGATCCCGGCACCAGGTCAGTTCTTGGTCCTCGACCCGTCCCTTCTCGCCGCCGTCGTGTCCCCGCCCGTCCCATCAGGAATCCCACCTAATCTCCAAGCCTTTAGGCATCAGTCGTCTGCTGTTTCATAGTCGCAGGCAGTGGTGATTCAGTCTACGCACTATGGCTCTGTTGACTCGTGCTCAGCTCGGATCTGTCCCTGCCTGCTGGGATGCTTCACTACAGCCGAATGCTGATGCACAAGCCTCTGTTTTCTAATGCGGTCTGGTTGGTTGGTGATCTTTGTCTTTTATGCATGTTCCTACTAATACAAATCTGCGGGTTGTACGAAATTGTTTTTGAGTCTGTCTGAATCCATCAGAAATCACTGGGGTTTGTGCCTTTGTGGTTAATAAATCACTCTTCTGTTGGTGCAAATCAGGAAGTGCTTACTGCTTAGTGAATCTGCCTAAAGTTGTGTTTACTGGATACTAAAACTGGGGTAGTGGTTGTGTTTAACACAATCTCTTTCAGAAGACAGCATGGTTGGTAAGGCATGATCGTTGGAGCCCGACATGCTTGGGTAAAACTGGAAAGTTCAATTAACTGCCTTCAAAACAGATCCTAATTCATACTTGGTTTCTGTGAGCTTAAGGTTGAATGCTTGATGAGTTGGGAAGAAATGTCTAGTTCCGACTCACTGAATTTCGCTCCTGTTCATGAAAAATAGCTGGATGGAACTTCAGGACAGAAATAATGTGGCAGTCTAGATATTGTTTTGCTAGGTCATGTGCCTTAGTCGCAAATCCACTGCTCAAGTTTAAGTTACTCTATCCCTGTCTGTGCAGTTTCTTTTCTTCAGTATCCAAAGAAATGCCACAACTGGTCATGCTTTCTTCATTAAACCATCATTTTAGTTGCCCCTTTAGGGACCATTTGCTGACAACAACTTAAAAGACTATCACATAGCTCCTCGAGACTGAAAAACTGTAACTCATGACCGATACCAACAGCATAGATTTGCTAGGTGTTCACCTATCAGTATATGTGGCTATCCTTGATTTTTCTCAATTCCTAGAGTGCACTGATCATTCAACAATCTAGCTCGTATTTAACGGTATCTTCCAGTATCATGAAGTGTCTCCAGTCCATTCCGAACTTAAACAAGCCAGATGGCTTTCACATGTTGCAGAGTTTGTCCTCCTGATTGTGTTGTCATAAGAGGAACAAAGTGGGAACATGGTTCCATTTGGCAATGTGATGTCGCAATCAGGAAGGCAGCAATCCATGTGGAAGCCGTGCTGGCTGTCAAGGGATTCATGAGTCAAGACAATAGTTTAAATAAACTGAGCCATACATGACACATGCAAGGCAGTCCAATCATGTCTCGAAATGATTTGGCAGCACCAAGTAGTGAGCCAATGTCACATTCTTAGGGATGACATAATAGTTGCCCGCAAATGAAAAGTTCAATAGGACATAAGAGTCTGAGCTGGATGATGCGTCTGCCAATCATACTGCTCTTCTTTTTTAGTCCTTTGCCTTTCAAGCAAATTCATTTTTAAAGATGTGATGTTTGACATATGTATTTTGTTATTCAGCCAAGTTTGATTGTCTTGCAAGGTTGATTGATGCGCTGGAGTTGATGAGGAATGGAGTGAAGCGCTTCCTTGTCCGCAAGAACGGCTCCTGGACAGGCATCACCAAGCGGTTTTCTATGCTTTACAATGGGAAATGGATGAAGAACTCGGAATCGGGATCCCCAAGCTCAGCTGGCAGCAGCAGCATGCAGTTGTCCCCATTTATCAGTTGCGCGGAGAGGTTTTGCTGCCTGTCAAGGGAAGACATCCTCCGGTTCCTGATCGGGTGCCTCGGCGCCCTCGCGCCCATCCCACTGTCTCCAATCTGTACCCTCGGAGCTATCAACCCGCACTACTGCCACGTCGAGGCGTCTGCGCCAGCCATGGAGGCGATCCAGAAGATCCCTGGGGACCCCTGCGGCGTGGCCGTGGTTGAGACGACATCGGACGGGGTCCGCAAGATCATCGGGGACATCTCTGCCTACAAGCTGTGGAAGTGTGACTACGTGGCGGCCGCGTGGGCGCTGGCGAACCTGTCGGCGGGGCAGTTTGTCATCGGCGCCGACGAGAACGGGTCGACCCCCATCTCCGCCTTCCCGCTGCCTTCCATCAGCTCGTCGTTGTCGGAGGAGGCCACCGAGCCCGGGCGCTCTCCCAGGCTGCTTAAGAAGTTCAGCAGCAGGAACATCGGGTTCCTGAACAGCCAGGCGAACCAGGTGCGGAGCATGTACCGGGGCCGGAGCTCGCCGCTGATGTGCCGGAGCACGAGCTCCCTGGCCGCCGTCATGGCGCAGATGCTGTCCCACCGGGCGACTCACGTGTGGGTGACGGACGCGGAGGCTGAGGAGGATGACGTCCTCGTTGGCGTGGTCGGGTACACGGACATCTTTGCCGCCGTCACCCGGAGCAGCGCCTGACCGTCGACGACGTCCTGATGGCGGTGGCGTGTGTTTGGGTGGTGTACTATAATTTGGGGTTAGTTTGGTGGTTGTCCAGAGCTGAGAACTTTGTTTTGGGTGTGTGGGCGTGTGAGACTGAATGGGTTGTGTATTGTTGGATGTGCATTCGTTGTTGATGGTCCTATAATAAGGTAGACTCGGGCCTATTTATGCCTGGGAGTCCATTGATCGCTCATCTTATATGTATGTTTCAACTGGGACTTGATGAATCAAACTAACCCTGACAAAAGTTAACCTGCCAAACACAAAAACTTGCAAACAGCAAACACACTCAAAAATTTCAAAACCGTCAATTGCCAGCGAAGTGTGCATATCAAATCTGCTTCGATTCCGTCTCCGCAATTGCGATAACAATCGCAAAACCTTGCAAACAGCAAACCACCCAAGTAGTACCCCATCTTTCCATTTTGCAGGGAAGAAATACTCGTGAACGGGCAACACACAGCACCGCGCAACGCACACTCAACACAAGTCACAAAGCAAATCAACGCTACCACAGCATGAAGAAAATTTGATCAAAGATAAGGCGGTGTCATAATAAACATTTTTTAGCCAAAAGTACCAATGTAACACCATTGTCACAATAAACACTTTTAAGCCAAAATCACGCAATGTAACACCGTTATCATCCTATCACAACTAGATAGTGCGATCACATGGAACACCGTTATCATCCTATCACAACTAGATAGTGCGATCACATGAAACACAGATATGGCGGTTTGTAATTGCCAACCAGCATGAAGGAAATATGCACACAATCACAGCACAACACACAAGACACAAAGCAAAGCAAAGCAACGTACCACATCATGAAGAAGAGGATCTGAACAAGGACATAAGATAATGTCATAACAAACATTTCTTAGCCAAAACCGTGCAATGCAACACCATTGTCACAATCACAATAAACATATTTTTAGCCAAAACCGTGCAATGCAACACCGCTGTCATCAAGATCACAGCCTAGCCAACAAAATCACATGAAACACATACACGATGGATGGTGGTCCGTAATTGCCAACCAGCAGAACAACGGCTGCAACAATGATACTGCCAACTTCGACGCTGCAGCTAATCAGGCTAGCACAGGTACAAGGGGCGGGGTGATGACATACGATACAAGTCGCTGCGGCAATAGTTGGCAAAAGGGTCGCCGAGGGAGAAATCAGATCCTCTCCTGGCGCTCTGAGCGAAGCCTCGAGGACCAGAACGGCCGACCGACAGTATGGAGGCTTCACTGGCCCGTTCCATGTACTTCAGAAACACCACCTTGCGTATCATCTCATCCGTCGGATCAGCGGCCAACAGAACCACCGCCTCCTCCAGCGCCAAGGCGCTCTCAAAGAAGAACTTGAGGAAGGCGAGCTCGCTTCGATCCCCTTGGAAACCATGGAAAACCAGCAGCTTGATGCGCGACTCTATGCATTCTATGGTACCAGACTCGAGCCAGAACTTCAGGTTGACCTTGCCAGTGGATTGATCAGTTTTTCCAGACTGAAAAATTGGTAGAGAAAAGCATGTGCAGTCCATCAGCTATCAGCTATTGATACCAATTAGAAATTAGCAACATGATGCTAGTGCAAGATGGTGCAAATGGATGCCAAAAGAAGAGTCAGGGGGCTCACCATGATGTGGAGCGTCTCAACATTCGGAAAGCATCTGAGGACATTGGGGATCATCTTGACATCATTGCGGACTGCGAAACGCACCTCCAAAGCCAGGACTTTCACACCTGGTAGCATGGTGCTTGGGCTCATCCCTGTCCCAGGCTCCCAGCCTGCAGTTGCAATCAATCACAGATTCACAACTCACCCAATTAAGAAAAGAAAGATCACACAAATTTGCATTGGCAGTGCAGGATTGAACCAATGGAGAAACCAGGCGCCTTAATGATGTTGTTGCCGACATCTAGGACATGCTTCCGTGGGTCCAACGCCAAGTATCCCAACAAGTGCAGCTTGGGGGCATGGCCGATCTTGACCGTGGTGGTGCAGTTGCCAACAGGGTGCCAAGCATCTGAATAGATGAACCGCTCAAGATTTGGGGCGTCCAGCACGAAGATCTCTTCGATGAAGCACCCAATGATCTGCACGCACCGGAGGCTCTGGCTGACGAGCCGGATGCGAAGCTTGAGCACATTGCCCTGGACACAGAGCGTCTCCAGCACGGGGCTCCTGTCGAGGATGAAGTCCAGATCCCTTCTCTCCACGAGGACGTGACAGAGCCCGAGGTCACGGAGATTGGGGAAGCAGGTGGCGCGCCGGAGACCGGCCGTGTCGGGGAACCTCCACATGCCGAGGTAGAAGCGGGTGAGGCTGGTCAGGCCCAGGAGGTTGGCGGGGAGGAAGTAGTCGAGCGGCCAGCGGGCGTTGACGAGGACGAGCTCCTGGATGCCCTTGGCGGCGAGGAGCCGGAGCCAGCGCGTGAGCAGGCCGTGGAAGCCCTCCGCGCGGGTGCTGGTGAGGTGGACGCAGCGGAAGGGCCCCGGGTGCGCCTCGAGGACGCGGGACACGGCGGAGGTGTCGGGGAGGAGGTCCGCGTCGGCGAGGACGAGCGGCGCCGAGCGCCAGACCCCGCGCCAGCGGCGGGAGAGCGCGGCGGTGCGCGCGGCGTCCTTGACGGGGAGGCGGGAGACGACGTCGCGGAGGAGCGCGTCGGGGAGGCGGCTGACGCGGTCGACGTCGTCGTCGGGTGGCAGCGCGAAGAAGCGGGCGGCGGCGGCGGAGGCGAGCCGGTTGACGGGCATGTCGTATTGGGTGTATAACTGGCCAAACGGGCCGGGCTAAACAGGCCGGCCCGCGAGCACGCCGGCACGGCCCGCCATG